GGAGGTAGCAGTTGTATTTTTCAGATTTCTCATCTCTTTCCACTATTGTTTCCAACAGAAGGGCCAGAGAATATGTAGATCTTCCTATTTTCTCTCCACTCAGATCTGTGATCTAAGAAACATGCTGGTCTAAACTAGCACTGATGCAGTACTTGATATTTAAATGCCCATGCAGACACAAACTAGTTTATCTTAAGTGGAATTCTACCTTGAATATAAATAGGGATTGATTTAAGTATTTGCTTAAGTGATCATCTTAGGTGAATCCTACCTGTAAGAAAACCTCTGATGTACCAGTATTTCAGAGCAGCATATAGAATTAGCAGGGATTCCACAGCATGTCAGTAAAAATAAGTGTTGATCCCAGAGCTCTGTTTTTTTTAGTGTCTCCTAGGCAGGATTTTGGGTACTCATGTAGGTCTATGTAGATGAGAAGGGTACAGGCCTTCACTATGCTTCCAGAATGTTTGCCATCCCCCACTTCTAGATGGAAGGTGCTGCAGTAAAGAAAACAGCAGTTTTTCAGCCATAACAGTATTTTCCTTTGTGGTCTGTTTATCTTCCATGGATTGTATTTCAGTATGTTCTTTCACAAACCAATAGGCACTATAGTTATCACAAATATAAATTGGTAACAAAATTCATTGGAGTATCTTAATCTGTATAACTCAAGTAAAAGACCAAAATATTTTATATCTTGCAGTTTAAAAAATTCCTTGTGTAAGTGGAATTAACTTAATGGGCGATTTCTTCATAGTTCTGTAATTTCTAAATATTTATGTTTATAACCACAGGCAAAAACATTACAACCCTAAAATCTGCTCTTCTTTTTTTATATAGTTCAACCGTGTTTATAAACCTCACTTGCATGCCTGTATTTCCGAAATAATGATATAAATTTTGAAGCTTTAAATTGGGTTGACACTGTGCTTCTGGATGCAGCTGAACTTTGTGTATGAGGGACATCATTGTTTCTGGAGTTACTAGCCTCCATAAGAAGAACAAAATGAAAAGCAGGCTTTTAAGAAGAAAGTATCAAACCAAATAAATGGTTTTAACACAATACATGGTGCTTTGGGGTGTTCTAAACATTTTATTGCTACTTGTTTGGAAAAGAACTGCAGAGCTCGACTGGGCCTCCACAACTTGTAATAGAGCCACCTCAAAATCAAGGAGACTTACCAGGTTTGGTGTTCAGATGAAAATCTGGTATCTCATTTCCTCCTAAACCCTTAGAAATTTGACCCAGCAGCCAGCAACAGCTCATCAGCATGTGTTTCCCTCCACTAGTTATAAAACAAAACTTGGATTAAGAAGTGTAATCTGAAGGGAATCTTTTAGTGCTGGAGCACTAAATTGTGTCATAACTTCTATTTTACAGAGCATAGGAAACTTAAAACTGTCACCAACAGTGGTAATTGCTGGTGATACCGTATTTCAGTCAGATGGTTTTGGCTGGAAATTAACAACTACTCAGATTATTAATTCTGCACAGATAGTAACTCATGTCCAGATGAAGTGGCAGCATGACTGCTGTTACTCCGAGCCTGCTCTTTGACACGGGGCCACGTTTCACCCTCCAGCGACAGGCAGAGGGGAGAGGCAGTGAGTTTCTGGGGACGTCTTGTGGCAGGGACCCCTGCCTGCCGTTTGGGGCCGGCCTGGCAGAGCTCCTTCCTGCACCTTCCAGAGAGAACTGTGCGGTGGGATCCAGCCGAGCTGCAAGCACCCCAGCCGGCCTCTGCAGGGCCTTCTTGTACTGCTCCTTGCAGCAGCACCTCAGCCTGCTGCCTGCCAGAGGGTACTGCTGCAAGCCAGGTGCGTCCCGGGGTCTTCCCAGTGTTCTGCCCCACGGTGAAGCTGCTGCCTGGCACACGGATGTGGCTGCGTGGCTGCCTGATGGAGCCACGTACAGCATTTTGCTGGGAAAGTGTTCTGTAAAAACAAAACACAACAAGAACACCTCTGTGGATTTTTGCCTCACCTTCATTTATCATTTCCAAATTGCGTGGCTGAAGGTGTGTACAGGCTCCCTCCTGCCTACAGACATCACCATCCTCTGTGAGACCAGAGGGTTTTCCTGTTGCATCCAGTTGCGACAGGGCAAGTAAAGGCTTGTGGTGTCCCATGTGGTGGCCGCAGTGGGAGCAGCACGTATGGGAAGACCTACTGCCATTTCCATGCAAATTTTCGTGTTGCTAATAATTGTGGTTTCAAAACGGGAATAGGAATGTTGACCCCGAGGAGGGCCAAGGCTCGCACTGAGGGAGCACAGGGAGACCTTCCCTGAGAGCCACAAGTCCCTTGCCTACTTGGGATGTTTTTCTCTAACTGGAGTCTGGTTTTGTCCAATTCCCTCTGCTTCACTGTTACCTAAGCCCCGTCCTTATTCTCTGTGTCCCTTATGTTCTCTTTTATGTGATTCCTCCCCCCCTCCCCCCAATTGTACTTATTTCCCTTAATAACCGCCACCAA